TCATCTGATGCAGCACTCCATCACTCTCCTTCTTGGTCAAATAGCCCTTACACAGCCTGGAGGTGTGTTTGGTCATTGTCCTGTTGAAAAACAAATGATAGTCCCACTAAACCCAAACCAGATGGGATGGCATATCGATGCAGAATGCTGTGGTAGCCATGCTGGTTAAGTGTGCCTTGAATTCTAAATAAATCACAGACAGTGTCACCAGCAAAGCACCCCCACACCATAACACCTCCTCCTCCATGCTTTACGGTGGGAAATACACATGCAGAGATCATCCGTTCACCCCCACCGCGTCTCACAAAGACACAGCGGTTGGAATCAAAAGTCTCCAATTTGGACTCCAGACCAATGTCCATTGCTCGTGTTTCTTGGCCCAAGCTAGTCTCTTCTTCTTCTGTCCTTTAGTAGTGGTTTCTTTGCAGCAATTCGACCATGAAGGCCTGATTCACCTCTCCTCTGAACAGTTGATGTTGAGATGTGTCTGTTACTTGAACTCTGTGAAGCATTTATTTGGGCTGCAATTTCTGAGGCGGGTAACTCTAATTAACGTATCCTCTGCAGCAGAGGTAACTCTGGGTCTTCCATTCATGTGGCGTCCTCATGAGAGCCAGTTTCGTCATAGTGCTTTATGTTTTTTGCGACTGCACTTGAAGAAACTTTCAAAGTTCTTGAAATGTTCCGTATTGACTGACCTTCATGTCTTAAAGTAAGGATGGACTGTCGTTTCTCTTTGCTTATTTGAGCTGTTCTTGTCATAGTATGGCATTTAAAATGCAAGAGAAAGGCCACAATATTTGGGCTCCTGAGTGGCACAGTGGTCTAAGGCACTACGTCTTAGTGCTTGAGGTGTCACTACAGACCCCCGGTTTGATTCCAGGCTGTATCACAACCGGCCATGATTGGGAGTCACATAGGGCGGCGCACAATTGGCCCAGCGTCGTCTGCATTTGGCAGGTGTAGGCTGTCATTGTAAATAAGAATTTGCTCTTAACTAACTAATAAAGATGAAATGTAATATTGCATTTTAGGCGCTATTTAGATTTTGGCCACTAGATGACAGCAGTGTGTGTGCAAAGTTTCTGAATTATCCAGTGAAGTATTGCAATACTGGACTATTTTGTATCAAATCTGCCCAAATGTGCTGAATATTCAACTGATACATTTTCAAGTACATAACTATAGAGAACATACAAAAATTATATGGTAATACAAAATGTAAGTAAACACACTCCCAGGAATGTCATACATGATGGATCATTAGCTTATACACTAACTTTCACACATCTAGACGGCCAGGCGGGGTGGGTGTGGCGCCAGAGACAGCAGGGGTTCAAACTGTAGAACCCAGTTCCTACATTTGAATATAAAAATTGATTTTATCAAACAAAACTATGCTACATTTTATCTCTGGGACCCTTAGGATAACACATCAGAGCAAGATTACTGAATGTGAATGTATCAAACCAGTTGCCGTGATACGTTTTTTGTTGTTGTGCACTCTCCTCAAACAATAGCATGGTATTTTTGCACAGTAATAGCGCCCCGTGTAGCTCAGTTGGTAGAGCAATGCGTTTGCAATGCCAGGGTTGTAGGTTCGATTCCCACGGGGGGCCAGTGTAAAAAAAAATAATTATGCACTCACTAACTGTAAGTCCCTCTGGATAAGAGTGTCTGCTAAATGATGTAAATGTAAATTGGACAGTGCAGTTAGATTAACAAGAATTTAAGCTTTCTGCCCACATAAGACATGTCTATGTCCTGGAAAGTTTGCTGTTACTTACAACAGTCATGCTAATCACATTAGCGCTCGTTAGCTCTACCGTCCCGTACGCGGGACACTGATCCCGTAGAGGGTAACACTTTCTTGGTTACTACATGATTCCATATGTGTCATTTCATAGTTTTGATGTCTTCACTATTATTCTAAAATTTTTAAATTAGTAAAAATAAAGAAAAACCCTTGAATGAGTAGGTGTGTCCAAACTTTTGACTGGTAGCGTGTATATATATATACAGTGCCCTCCACTATTATTGGCACCCCTGTTTAAGATGTGGTCGAGGACTTCCAAAAATTCTCCTTTTTTTTTAAACAACATAGAACCCAAATGCAAAAAAAGAGAAAAATCCAACCTTTTATTTAAGTACATTACTTTGGTGGTAAAAAAAAAAATCACACATTTAGAAAAAGAAAAACTTGAAATCATGTGTCCCACTATTATTGGCACCCCTAACAATTCCGCTGAAAATTTTAATTGATTTTTTTTTAAATATATGTTTCTGTAGTTGCTAAAGTTGGTCAGGGTATCTAGGAACTTTTAATTAGTAATTCATGACTTCCTGTTTCCCTGGGGTATAAATATGACGTGACACAGAGGCCTAATTCTCTTACCCATTTGTCAACATGGCAAAGACAAGAGAACACACCATTCAAGTAAGGCAGATTTGTGTCGACCTTCATAAGTCAGGCAATGGCTACAAGAAAATAGCCACTCGCCTTAACTTGCCCGTATCTACAGTCAGAGGAATCATTAAGAAGTTTAAAACAACTGGAACAGTGACAAACAAGGCTGGAAGAGGTCCCAAGTTTATCTTGCCACAACGCACAGTGAGGAGGATGGTAAGAGAAGTAAAAAAAAGTCCTAAGCTCACTGTCACAGAATTGCATCAAAGAGTGGCATCTTGGGGTCACAAAGTCTCCAAAACAACCATCAGACGCTCTCTATATGCCAACAAGCTGTTTGGGAGGCATGCAAGGAAAAAGCCTTTTCTCACTAACACTCACAAACGTAAACGTCTGGAGTTTGCTAAGCGGCACTGGGACTTCAACTGGGATCGTGTGCTTTGGTCAGATGAGACTAAGATTGAGCTTTTTGGCAACAAACACTCTAAGTGGGTCTGGCGTAAAACAAAAGATGAGTATGCCGAAAAGCACCTCATGCCCACCGTGAAGTATGGTGGAGGATCTGTGATGCTGTGGGCCTGTTTCTCTTCCAAAGGCCCTGGGAACCTTGTTAGGGTGCATGGCATTATGAACGCTTTGAACTACCAGGACATTTTAAATAAAAACCTGATGGCCTCTGCCAGAAAGCTGAAGATGGGTCGTCATTGGGTCTTTCAGCAGGATAATGATCCAAAACATGTGGCAAAATCTACACAAAAATGGTTCAGCAGTCACAAACTCAAGGTCCTCCCATGGCCATCTCAGTCCCCAGACCTCAACCCAATCGAAAACCTGTGGGGCGAGCTAAAGAGGAGAGTGCATAAGAGAGGACCCAGGACACTGGATGATCTAGAAAGATTGTGCAAAGAAGAATGGTCAAAGATCCCTCTCTCTGTGTTCTCCAATCTTGTGAAATGTTATAGGAGGAGATTAAGTGCTGTCTTGTTGGCAAAAGGGTGTTGTACAAAGTATTAACATCAGGGGTGCCAATAATTGTGGGACACATGATTTCAAGTTTTTTTTTTTCTAAATGTGTGATTTTTTTTTTTACACCAAAGTAATGTACTTAAATAAAAGGTTGGATTTTTCTATTTTTTTGCATTTGGGTTCTATGTTGTTTAAAAAAAAATGAGAATTTTTGGAAGTCCTCGACCACATCTTAAACAGGGGTGCCAATAATTGTGGAGGGCACTGTATATATATATATATATATATATATATATATATATATATATATATATATATATATATATATATATATATATATTTCAGTATTCAATAGCTCTTAAACAAAGCTTGCCATGACTTTGAAAATGATATATTCTGAACCAGGGGAGGATGGAGAAAAGCTATTTTTTGGCACTGTCCTATGCACTATACCCCATAATGTCAAAGTGGATTTTTATTTTTTTCTAAGTTTTACAAATTAATAAAAAATGTAAAGCTGAAATGTCTAGAGTCAATAAGTATTCAACCCCTTTGTTTTGGCAAGCCTAAATAAGTTCAGGAGTAAACATTTGCTTAATAAGTCACATAATAAGTTGCTTGGACTAACATGATTTTTGAATGACTACCTCATCTCTGTACCCCACACATACAATTATCAAGACAGTGAATTTTCCTGAGTTGCCGAGTTATAGTTTTGACTTAAATTTACATGAACATCTACGGCAAGACCTGAAAAAGATTGTCTAGCAATGATCAACAACCAATTTGACAGAGCTTGAATAATTTTTTAAAGAATACTGAGCAAATGTTGCACAATCCAGGTGTGGAAAGCACTTAGAGACTTACCCAGAAAGACTCACAGCTGTAATCGCTGGTGCTTTTACAAAGTATTGACTCAGGGGTGTGAATACTTATGTAAATGAGATATTTCTGTATGTCATTTTAAATACATTTGCACACATTTCTAAAAACATGTTTTCACTTTGACATTATGGGGTATTGTGTGTAGCTACGTGATAAAAAATGAACAATTTAATACATGTTTAATTCTGGCTGTAACACAACAAAATATGGAAGAAGTCAAGGGGTATGAATACTTTCTGAAGGTACTATGAACAAAGCTTACCATGACTATTACATTCTATCATCTGAATCAGTGGAGGATGGAGAAAAATCCAAGCCTGTTTTTATTTTTATACTTTTTCTATTTTGGATTTCAATCTTCAATAGCTCTTAAACAAAGCGTGCCATGACTATGACAATTATATATTTTGAATCAGGTGAGGATGGAGAAAAATCCACATATTTTTTGTTGTTGAAATGTTGATATCTTCATAGTCATGGCACGCTTTGTTTAAATACTCTTGGAGATGGAAATCCGAAATCTTATTTCTTTAAAGAAAAAAAAAAAAGTGTGGATTGTTCTCCATCCCACCCCTGATTCAGAATTTACCATTTTCATAGCTTGGTTCAATAGCTATTGACGAGAGAACCGAATATCCAATATAAAACTAATTTTACCTCGGTCTGTGGGCGTTGCTATCAAATCATTGGTCGTTATTACTGTATGGACCGGGTGTCCTCCTGTTCCTTCTCTCACTTTTCCTGGGAATTGCTGGAAGCTTTCAAACTTCATCATATTTTTTATGTATGTCCTAATTCTAGGCTACAATGCAGGTTTGTTGAATGACAATCTGTTTTTTTTATTGTAAAGCTCTGGGCTGTGCATTCTCAGGGATCTTCGGGAGAGATATTGTCCAACATTTGTTGAACAACCCCCATCAAATCATTGGAGTGGATTTGGAAGTATGATATCGGAAATGAAAGGATACACTTTGAAGTGGACGGTATAATGATTTTGTAGACCTATAGTAGGTTATATTTTTCTGCTAAAGCGTAATAACGAAATCACATTTTGTAGAAGAAAAAAAAAATCCTAGAAGACCAGCAGCCAGTCAAAATGCCATGGGAAATAATACTTTGCGGAATTATGCTTTTGCTGAACATGAGAACGTGTGAAAGCTTCCCCAACAAGTTTGATGATGACATTGACAAACGTATTGACCCATTACATGACGTTATCGATCCATTAGATTATGAGAGGATTGATGATGAGTTTGATAGGAATGTAACTGCTTGTGGTGAGTGCTCACCTGAGTTGTGTCCCGAGGCACAAGAATGCAGGGCTGGGCTAATTTTGGACAGTTGTGGTTGCTGCCAAGAGTGTGGAAATCTAGAGGGACAGACGTGTGATATTGGCGACAATAATGTATTTTACGGTCTCTGTGGGACGGATCTTCAATGCAAAATTGACGATTTGGATGTTGGAGATGGGGAAGTTGCGGAGCCGCAATGTGTCTGTCAATCGCAAGATGCGCTTTGTGGTTCCGATGACAGAACATACATGAACATTTGTCAGTTTAAAGAAGCGTACTTCTCAAATTCATCACTCAAGATGAAGCGCAAAGGTCCATGCAAAACAGGTAAATCGCTTATTATGATGCTATGCGCTTTGATTTTCGCCTAGTGCTGTCTCAGTCAGTGTAAATGTACTCATCTACAGTTACTTCTAATAAACCGTGATTAAATTGGAGGACAGTAGACAAAAGATGACTTCGGGAAACTAACATTATGGCCAAAACAGAAACAAAGCCTATTCAATCAATCTGCCAGCGAAATAATAATTAAAGTGATATTGGGCATACGAAACACACTTTATTGTCCCATGTAACACTTCAAGTCAGTAAGAAAAATAAATATGGATTAGGGCAAAGTGGTTTCTTGTCAACAGTCTTAGATTTTTCTGACAGAGTAGCAAGAGAACTCACTGAGACTGATCCAGAGGAATCTTTACTCCACCCCCAGGTTTGAGGATTTCGGGGCTGGCCTATACTTTCCCCACAGGCATTGGGAAAGATTTATTGTTTTAACCAGCTCCAGGAGTCAAGCCCCTCTCAGCCTGCAGCTCAGGAGTGAGAGAGGAAATGGCTCGTAAACACCCCAACTCTACCTCTTATTTTTTCAGTGCCGATCATCAAGGTCCCACCCCAGAACCTGGTGAATGTTACGGGCAGTAGCATGGTGTTCCTCTGTGAGGTCTTTGCCTTTCCAATGGCACTGATTGAATGGAAGAAGGATGGCAAAGACATTATTCTTCCAGGAGATGACCCACACATATCTGTCCAGGTGAACCTTGTTCACCTCTGCTGTTGCCTTAGTATATTCTTTAATGTTTCCAACAACATACTTACTTATTGGATGATGCAGAAAGATTGGGTGGATTAGGCATAGGTCCTTGGTATTTCATTTTATACACTGCGTCATAGAATTATGTACATTCATTCAGTCCTAAACAGTAGGCTATGCTTAAACATGTCCTTTGTCTGTGCTGTGCTGGACAGTCTCGAGGTGGTCCCCTGAAGTATGAGCTCTCCAGCTGGCTGCAGATCGAGGAAGCTGGCCTGGCTGATGCTGGCACCTACCGCTGTGTCGCTCGGAACGAGCTCGGCAGTATCTCTGCAACGGCTGTGTTAGGAGTTCTAGGTCCAGGTAATGGACGTTCTAGAGACAGTTCTAAAGCTGTCACACAAATCTCTCAAAATGACAGAATTCTATGGAGAATATAGTATATCTTAGATGTGAGATTGACTCTTCTTGATCTGTTTACGATGCTACTGTAGGCTAATAACCCAATCTAATACTTTTTCCAGAGGAGATGTCCGTCTACTTGATGGAGAACATGACGGACATTTTGGAGTACGGCCACTCAGAGAGAGAGTATGATGAGGATTACTACTAGTGATGTCCTCCGTTCTAAGGAATCAGCCCTCACTAACGGAGGTGCTGATGGCATCCTGAAAGTCTTCACAATTGTTGTAGTGTTGCACGTGCAGATTTGGTACAAACTGTTCAGCTTAACCACATGTTTTCATCTCTACATGTAGTCAAGATGGTGAAAGTGGAGAAACTCTTTGGATGTGATATACAACAAAATCACAGGTGAATATGTGTGGAAGTGGATTATGGAAGCGTCTGATCATTCCTGAAGTCTATATTGTACAGTATATAGTACTGAAAGCATAAGGAATGAATGTCTCTGTTCAAACCCAAGCTGTTCAAACCCATTTTCCTTGTGACTATAAGTCTACATTCCAAACCATATAAATGATGTCTTGCAGGAAAGTTAGCCCAACTGTCCTGTTACTGTCTGGTAAAATGTTTAGCCATCCCCTCAAGATGAACCTGGCATGTGTTCATCCAATATGTGCAACTGGATGTACTCTATGTGGAATGTCTAGGTGCATTGTTGTGTCTCAGAACTGGAATGTATTTTTAGTTGGTTTATAGGTTTCCATCTATCGCTGTAATGCTTGGGCAGATGTGTCAGTAAGCCAAGTCCAGCTCTGGTCGTGGTGGAAAGAAGCCCACAGATGGTTTAAATGTTTTGTGGAGCTCAGACATGAAGAGAAACACCATCTCCTTTGTGTCCTTGTGTCAACAAGGTTCTCCTATGCATTTCCTTTTATAAGAGATTATGGACTACTTTGTACTTGATCTAAATATAGCCATGCATCTACGCAAAGGAAGCAACATCAGACTAAGAATACTATGAATATATTATGAATATGAATAAACAAATTATATTACAAAGATTTTTTATATTATGCTACTTCTGAATATTACAATATATCTAATCATCTCAAAAGGGGAGCTGTGTTTTTCCAAATTATTTATGCTTTCATCTGGATAAAAAAATCTGTATTGACAAATTAAATGTAAAATGCGTACATTTTGATGCGATGATGGATTACTACATACTGTTAGTTGAGTGCATATTGCATTCCCAGAAGAAAGAAATATGCAATAAATGAAAAACAGTAATCACAAACAGTCTCTGAGTGTATTTGCGTGCCGAAGTCCCTTCAGCAACACTGACTGTTAAAGTAATTACAGTCATACTGGTGTAAATCAAAGCCATGCTCTGGACCCCTACTCTTGAAATAATCAGACAATATCCCTGTTTGTTTGCTTCCATTTTATTTTGCTGTGTTATTTCAAGCAGAGCCCCTCATTGGAGGAAACCCCCAGTCAAGGAGTAACTCCCCAACTCTTGGAATCAGTTCATTTTCAACTGTATTCTTTTTTTTATATATATCAAGAGGATTGTCTGAGGCTCAGATGGGTATGGGGCTTTCAATTCCCTCGAGCTCGCCTAATATCCTGTCCACTGAAAATACATTACTGGCAAAGGAGGAGCAAAACGGTTTGAGGGAAGCAGTTCAGGTCTGCTTGAAACAGAGCTACTTGGCCTGGTTGACAGTCACAGACAGCACCAGGGTGGAAAACATAATACATTCAGGGCCTGTTTTATTTCAGAGCTATGTTTTAGTGATGTAAAGAAAGTAGGGAAATTGATATTCCTTGAAAGGTTGCAGGAATTAGGAGACAAAGCAAGAAAATGCACAATATACAGGATTCCTCTAGGGCACATTGTACTTCTACCACATGAAAACTATCAGGAAATACCTTTCCAGAGATTCAAATAATGCAAATGTATTCCAGACCTCTTCACCCCTATTAATTCTATTTTTCAACTAGATGCTGAGCAGACAGATTCAGTATCAAAATCCATAGGACTTAAAGATCACATTTATTTTCAGATTTATGACAAGTTAAGCAACTATTTTTTTTAAACATCCTGCTTCACAGATTAAAAAGTATTTACAAAGAAAACTTGGAGTCAAGCTGTGTTGGTACCTCCTGCTGGCCAAAGACTGTACAACAGCATACAGTGTAAAACTCCACATAACACAGTATATTTCTAAAGCAAAAATATATATAAGTTATTGTAGGTGTATTCAAGACCTTCACAGCAGAAATTGGGTATATGATAAACCACGATTAAAATGCAATATGAGTGGTTTTATGAAGCATTAGGGAGCAGTAGAAAACAACCCTTGAGAAATCCTCTGAATTCAGTTTTACAATGGGCTCACACATACCTTTTCAGGATGACAACTTTGGTGTGGGCACCCTCGGTTTTCACTTTAGTTCATTTTCACCCTCACATTATCATACGGAGAGTTCTCCTCCTCTTCATGTTGGAGTGTATCTGGCGGAAAAGCTCTTTTTGGTAGCATGGGGACAGCGTAGTCGTCAACGTGAGGGTTGTATGGATACTCATGGCCATTGGGGTCAGCTATGGTGCCCATGATTTTCCAGGCATGACCTCCGACCTCCTCGGGGTCATCGTAAACAGAGGTGGGGCAGTTGGGCTCCAAAGCTACAGCTGCAGCACAGCCCTCCGGTTCATCGTAGATGTGCTCTGCCTTGGTGTAGCTGACTTTGGTGCCCTTAGACCTGCTCAGGCCTGATCGGATGGCCGACTCATCAATGCTGTCGTAGAGAGGATCTGGAGCATCGTCCTCCTGGCAGCCTGACCTCTCAGAGCCCTGCGGCTCCACCCCCGGGGGGAGGTGGACACTAAGCAGTATGTCCGCCATCAGGTTCTTGGCAATGGTGTCAAAGGGGAGGGAGTAGTCTGAGTCCTCGGAGGAGTGGTTGGGTCCAGCGCTGAGGCTGAGGGAGGGCTTATCCTCCTGCTCCCTCCTCTCCAGAGGCATGGTGATCTCCGAGTAGGTCTGACTCTTGCTGTTCATCAAAGGGCAGCTGGAGATGTTCTTCACCTGGTTCTTGCAGGGAATGCCTCTGGTGTCCAGTGTCAGGCTCTTGACCCCAGTGAGGAGTTTTTCCGTGGGGGCCTCCAATTTGGCATGGGCTAGGTGTGGGGGAGAGGAGCCGCCTCTCTGCAGGGCCTCATTGATGGTGCTGTAAACACCCGGCTCCCCTGCTGGCTGGAGCCTGGGACCAGGGTCCATCTCCTGGCCTCCTGAGGCCTGTCGGAGGGGTTGGCCTGCACTCCTCTGGAGGTTGATGGCGGACTCCAGGGCTTGGAACAGCATGTTGCCCTGTTTGGTGTCAAACTCAAAGCTACCTTCGCCAGAGTCACATCTGCGTCCCGCTTCAAAGGAAAACGTCACCTGCAAAGTAATTTTTGTGAGATTGCTTAAGACTTCACTCTGAAGGGAAGTTACTTACGTATAATTATCAGCTTTTTATATTCACTCATAGGGAGAGACCTTGTTGTGCTTTATTTAAAGACTGTACTGTATTTGGGTCGCCTTTCTTTAACACTCAAATAATTGTCCTCAACTAGGGTTGCAAAAACTTGCCCAAAATTCCCAGGTTTTCTAGAAGTCCCAGAAAGAAGATTAGTGAAATCAGGAGGGAAAAACCGGGATATCCAGGAATCCCCCAACAAGGATTTCTTGAAAACCTTGGAATTCTGGGAAAGTTACCGGAATTTTACAACCCTATCCTCAACCATTCCAAGAGAGATTTGTTGAGTGTTTAGATGGGCTTTTGGAGTTGACAGTTTGATGTCACCTTGTCCCGTCCGAACCTCCGGAGGAAGCGGTAGGGCCAGCTGAAGAGAACCTCTCCTGATTTGGGCTCTTTGAGGAGGAGGCTGTCGAAGTCTGTCCGTAGAACACAGGGGCCTCTCAGCTTGCAGCGCTCTGCTGCCTCCGTCCTCCTCACCACCACCCTGAAGTCCTTCACTGCTGTGAAACAGACAGACAGGATGTAACAGACAGACAGCATGGGAAACAGACAGACACTATGCTCTAACTCAACGCAAACAATATCACACTGACTCAAATTGTAGTGTCCTTATTACACATGGATTTTTACACCATATTGCTCAAGTGAACAGTAAACCTGGCTTTAAAAAAACAGATAAAGCAACACCTCACAGAACAACGCCTCTCCCTTATTTGACCTAAATATTTTGTGTGTATTTACTAATAGATGCTACTGAATGTAATGTCTTTGAGCTGTTCTTGTCTATTAATGTTCTGTATTATGTCATGTACTGTATATAATAAATAATAAAATACCAAATACCAAATAAAAATAGCAAAGATGGGGGAGGTTTGAAAATGCTGTGGGGTTGCTTTGCTGCCTCTGCTACTGGGGGCCTTGAAAGAGTGCATCCTGTAATCATCAGATATCAGGTGTTTTGTAGTCAATTGTTCAACCCACCCACTGGGCACACCACGTAATTTTAATGTATATAACTGGGTCATAATTGGTTGAGATGTTGATCAATGAGATTACAAACTATATTATCCCACTCAAAAAGACAGACAAAAGTTAGTTGAATTTCCAATGTGTTATCACTATGCTTTCAACCATATAAAAGCACAACCAAATTCCAATGGAAAAACAATGTCTAATTTTTGGTTTAGTTGTCACCCAAATACTGTATTACAAAGTAATATTGAATTGTGTTTGGTTGACAACGAAACCAAATATCAACATTTGAAGGAAATGTATGTACTGCTTGGATAGTTCCATCTGAGCCACTGGCTTAATCCCATTCTTTAACTTTTATTTTTGGTTGAGTTGGAGACGTGAATCCAACATATCATTTGTTAACTTGTATTTAAAAAGTGATATTGAATTGTGTTTGGTTGTCAATGCAACCAAATATCAACATTTTGAAGGAGGTGTATCTTTTGCTTGGATAGTTCCATCTGTGCCACTGACTTAGTCTGGATTTAATTCCAGTGTGTCTACAAATTAATAATTGATATGTTCAGTGATGTAGTGGTAAAAACAAATAAGTGGGTAAACTCTGAACTCCGGTGCGGTGAAAAAAGTCACGCTTCCTATACTTTAAATGCATTTTTCTGCAAAAGGTGGGTCAATTTGGCAAAATAAAAGTGGGTAAACTGCACTTAGTTGCATTTGTCCTCCACTTCACCACTGGATATGTTGGATTCACATCGCCATCTCAAACAAAAATCTAAGTTAAAGAATAGGACTAAATCAAATCAAACTTTAAATGCACTTTAAATAAAGTTTGATTTGATTTAGTCCTATTCTTCAACTTACATTCTTGGTTGATGGAGATGTGAATCCAACATATACACTACCGTTCAAAAGTTTGGGGTCACTTAGAAATGTCCTTGTTTTCGAAAGAAAAGCAATTTTTATGTCAATTAAAATAACATAAAATTAATCAGAAATACAGTGTAGACATTGTTAATGTTGTAAATGGCTATTGTAGCTGGAAATGGCTGATTTATAATGGAATATCTACATAGGCGTACAGAGGCCCATTATCAGCAACCATCAGTCCTGTGTTCCAATGGCACGTTGTGTTTGCTAATCCAAGTTTATCATTTTAAAAGGCTAATTGATCATTAGAGGCGACTCCAGGATGCTGACCATCTAGGCAGAGTTGCAAAGAAAAAGCCACATCTCAGACTGGCCAATAAAAATAAAAGATTAAGATGGGCCATCTGAGATATGGCTTTTTCTTTGCAACTCTGCCTAGAAGGTCAGCATCCCGGAGTCGCCTCTTCACTGTTGATGTTGAGACTGGTGTTTTGCGGGTACTATTTAATGAAGCTGCCAGTTGAGGACCTGTAAGGCGCCTGTTTCTCAAACTAGACACTCTTGCTCAGTTGTGCACCAGGGCCTCCTACTCCCCTTTCTATTCTGGTTAGAGCCAGTTTGCGCTGTTCTGTGAAGGGAGTAGTACACAGCGTTGTACGAGATCTTCAGTTTCTTGGCAATTTCTCGCATGGAATAGCCTTAATTTCTCAGAACAAGAATAGACTGTTTCTGGCCATTTTGAGCCTGTAATCGAACCCACAATTGCTAATGCTTCAGATACTCAACTAGTCTCAAGAAGGCCAGGTTTATTGCTTCTTTAATCAGCACAACAGTTTTCAGCCGTGCTAACATAATTGCAAAAGGGTTTTCTAATGACCAATTAGCCTTTTTAAATGACAAATTATTAATTTGTAGACAAACTGCCAGACTAATAAGTCAGTGGCACATATGGAACTATTCAAGCAGAAGATACATGTCCTTCAAATGTTGATTTTTGGTTGCGTTGACATTATATACAAAGTTTGTCTATGTTGGAATTTGGTTGCCATGATGACATACAGTGCCTTCAGAAAGTATTCACATCCCTTGACCCCTTGAGATTTTGTGTCACTGGCCTACACACAATACCCCATTATGTCAAAGTGGAATTATGTTTTTAGAATCTTTTACAAATTAATTACAAATTAAAAGCTGAAATGTCTTGAGTCAGTAAGTATTCAACCTCTTTGTTATGGCAAGCCTACATAAGTTCAGGAGTAAAAATGTGCTTAGCAAGTCACATAATACGTTCAACTCACTCTGTGTGCGATAACAGTGTTTAACGTGATTTCTGAATGACTACCTCATCTCTGTACCCCACACGTACAATTATCTGTAAGGTCCCTCAATTCGAGCAGTGAATTTCAAACACAGATTCAACCACAAAGACCAGGGAGGTTTTCCAATGCCTTGCAAAGAAAGGTACCTATTGGTAAATGGGTAAAAAAAAGAAAATCAGACATTGAATATTCCTTTGAGCATGGTGAAGTTATTAATTACACTTTGGATACACCCAGTCACTACAAAGATACAGGCGTCCTTCCTAACTCAGTTGGCGGACAGGAAGGAAACCGCTCAGGGATTTCACCATGAGGCCAATGGTGACTTTAAAACAGTTAGAGAGTTTAATGGTTGTGATAGGAGAAAACTGAGGATGGATCAACAACATTGTAGTTATTCCACAATACTAACCTAAATGACAGAATTAAAAGAAGGAAGCCTGTACAGATTTTTTTATTTTTTATTTTTTAAACATGCATCCTGTTTGCAATAAGACAATAAAGTCAAACTGCAAAAAATGTGGCAAAGAAATTGTCCTGAATACAAAGCGTTATGTTTGGGGCAAATCCAACACAACATATCACTGAGTACCACTGCTCATATTTTCAAGCATGGTGGTGGCTGCATAATGTTACGGGTCTGCTTGGACTAGGGAGTTCTTTAGGATAAAATAAACTGAATGGAGCTAAGTACAGGAAAAATCCTAAAGGAAAACCTGGTTCAGTCTGCAATAGACACAGAGACAAATTCACCTTTCAGCAGGACAATAACCTAACACACAAGGCCAAATATACACTGGAGTTGCTTACCAAGACGACATTGAATGTTCCTGAGTGGCTTAGTTACAGTTTTGACTTAAATAGGCTTGAAAATCTGTGCCAAGACGTGAAAATGGATGTCTAGCAATGATCAACAACCAACTTGAAAGAGCTTGATGAATTTTAAAAATAATAATGTGCAAATACTGTACAATCCAGGTGTGCAAAGCTCTTAGAGACTTACCCAGAAAGACTCACAGCTGTAATCGCTGCCAACGGTGATTCTAACATGTATTGACTCAATACTTACATGTATTGGTGTCAATACTTACGTAAATGAGATATTTCTGTATTTCAATGTGAAATTTCACCCTCAAAACAACAGTTTACGTTGATTCATTTTTTCAAATACAATGTATTTTCCACGTAGATTCCACGTCACAATATGTTGACAAATTACGTTGAAACAACGTTGATTCAACCAGTCTGTGTTGAGTGGGCAGTGTCCAAAAACTGGGTCTACATTGAAGGTTGCGGGTCTTCCTGCAGGACAACGACCCCAAACACACATAAAAAAGCAGCCAGAAATGGTTAAGAAGTAGTGCTGGACTGTTCTGGAGTGGCCAGTAAAGAGTCCAGATCTGAATCACATCTAAAAGCTATAGCAAGATCTGAAAACAGCAGTTGGTGGAGGGCATCCCTCAAATATTGAAGAATTAGAGCAGTTTGCTGCTGAGAAGTGGGGCAAATTGTCAGTACAACGGTGCAGCAAGCTCATAGATGGCTATAAGAAGTGTTTGTCTGCAGTTATCTTGGCCAAAGGCTGCACAACCAAGTACTAGCCCAGTGGTGCCAATAATTGTGTCCATGCCATTTGTCTTTATTTTCTCAATAAAAAATGTAAACTTAAGTTTCCAGAAATGTAATTGTTCCTTCAATGTTGAAAATCTATTTTATTTTAGAAGAAATAGGGAATTATTTAAGAAAAGTGCAAGTGTGCCAATATATTTGGCCTCAACTGTACAGTACAGAGTTAAAGAACAAAGACTCTCTGCATGTCCTAGCATATTGTACTGTAGGCTCACAGGCTCCTTTTCCAAAGTGGTGCGATAAGTGATTTTCCAAAAGAAATCCAGTTGTAAAGTGATCATTCCAGTGCTGGAAAAAAAAACTGCTACTGTGGTTCCCATGATGAACGAAACAAGCCAAGTTACAGTCGGTGCAATGAACATAAGCTATGGGGGAGAGCACTGCACTTTGTCAGTTGTTCTGTGGGAGGGAGATCAAATCCCTGTCACAGCCAGAGGCATACGACTCCTGTTTTTCCATTCACTTGGATAACGGTCTTTAAGTGAGAGAAATGTGGAACGCATTCTCATTACCAATCCTAGACCTACACAGAGCCATGTACAGTGGCTTGCGAAAGTATTCACCCCCCTTGGCTTTTTTCCTATTTTGTTGCCTTACAACCTGGAATTAAAATCGATTTGTTGGGGGTTTGTATCATTTGATTTACACAACATGTCTACCACTTTGAAGATGCAAAATACCTTTTTTGTGTGAAACAAACAAGAAATAAGACAAAAAAACTTAAAACTTGAGCGTGCATAACTATTCACCCCCCCAAAGTCAATACTTTGTAGAGCCACCTTATGCAGCAGGGGGTATGTCTCTATAAGCTTGGCACAGGGATTTCTGCTTATTCTTCAAGGCAAAACTGCTCCAGCTCCGTCAAGTTGGATGGGTTCCGCTGGTGTACAGCAATCTTTAAGTCATACCACAGATTCTCAATTGGATTGAGGTCTGGGCTTTGACTAGGCCATTCCAAGACATTTAAATGTTTCCCCTTAAACCACTCGAGTGTTGCTTTAGCAGTATGCTTAGGGTCATTGTCCTGCTGGAAGGTGAACCTCCATCCCAGTCTCAAATCTCTGGAAGACTGAAACAGGTTTCCCTCAAGAATTTCCCTGTATTTAGAGCCATCCATCATTCCTTCAATTCTGACCAGTTTCCCAGTCCCTGCCGATGAAAACCATCCCCACAGTATGATGCTGCCACCCCCATGCTTCACTGTGGGGATGGTGTTCTCGGGGTGATGAGAGGTGTTGGGTTTGCGCCAGACATAGCGTTTTCCTTGATGGCCAAAAAGCTCAATTTTAGGCTCATCTGACCAGAGTACCTTCTTCCATATGTTCGGGGAGTCTCCCACATGCCTTTTGGCGAACACCAAACATGTTTGATTATTTCTTTTCTTTAAACAATGTATTTTTTCTGGCCACTCTTCCATAAAGCCCAGCTCTGTGGAGTGTACAGCTTAAAGTGGTCCTATGGACAGATACTCCAATCTCCGCTGTGGAGATTTGCAGCTCCTTCAGGGTTATCTTTGGTCTCTTTGTTGCCTCTCTGATTATTTTATTAATGCCCTCCTTGCCTGGTCCGTGACTTTGGTGGGCGGCCCTCTCTTGGCAAGTTTGTTGTGGTGCCATATTCTTTCCATTTTTTAAATAATGGATTTAATGGTGCTCCGTGGGATGTTCAAAGTTTCTGATATTTTTTTATAAACCCATCTGTACTTCTCCACAACTTTGTCCCTGACCTGTTTGGAGAGCTCCTTGGTCTTCATGGTGCCGCTTGCTTGGTGGTGCCCCTTGCTTAGTGGTGTTGCAGACTCTGGGGCCTTTCAGTACAGATGTATATATACTGAGATCATGTGACAGATCATGTGACACTTAGATTGCACACAGGTGGACTTTATTGAACTGATTATGTGACTACTGAAGGTAATTGGTTGCACCATATCTTATTTAGGGGCTTCATAGCAAATACATATGCACGCACCACTTTTCCGTTATTTATGTTTTAGAATTTTTTGAAACAAGTTTTTTTTTTAATTTAACTTCACCAATTTGGCCTATTTTGTGTATGTCCATTACATGAAATCCAAATAAAAATAAATTTAAATTACAGGTTGTAATGCAACAAAATAGGAAAAACGCCAAGGGGGATGAATACTTATGCAAGGCACTGTATTTAGAATCTAAATACATGGCTCTGGTAATACATACATACGTACATTTTCCAAATCCCTTTAGAGAGAGCTAACAATATGGGAGTTTGAATATACTGTAGATCACAATGTGTAAGCATGATTTCAAACCAAATACTTCCCACTAATGGATGAAATGGATGAAAACCGACACTTGTGAAAACCTGTCACATCCATCCCTATCCCTTCCCTTTAGGGTGCCTTCAAACCAGAATGCATGAAACACATGTCAAACGCAGCGGTTTAGTAGGGCGGGGAGAAATGATTAGCAAGAAACGGTGTTCTACATTTAAAAATTGGTTGTGACGGACACATCTTGGCAACTTTTCTTATTGACAGCACATCACAACCCTAGGCCCTCCCCCATTGCACTGCTCCCATTGAGCAGGTAGCTTAGTGGTTAAGAGCGTAGTGCCAGTAACCGAGCTGACTAGGTGGAAAATCTGTCGATGTGCCCTTGAGCAAGGCACTTAACCCTAATTGCTCCTGTAAGTCGCTCTGGATAAGAACGTCTGCTAAATGACCTTTTTTTTTTCTTTTTTTTTATAAAACATTGGGTTGCTGCATTTTTTTACAGATCCGTTTGTCTCATTTCAAAGCACCCTTAACTGAGCTGGATCTTCACTGTAGCCTCTTTGAGCAGCACCTATGTAACAGAGCTGAGCAGAGCAGCATGTTTGTAAAATGTGGCTTAGGAAGCCACAGACATATTGCTGCACTGAGTAGAGGATGTTTCGTTGAGAAGATGCACTGGCATGCAACCTCTCAGCACTTCCTCAATCAACAAAAAGAGAGAAGGGCCTATTGACTTCCTGTTACATCCAAGCCCTATATGACAGAAATACCCTGTTCTTAAAATAAACTCGCTGACTTCTCTATACAGTAGCTCGGCTCCACCTCTTTGCCACTGGTGGATGAGCCTAAACCACTAAACCAGTTTCTCATCTGAATTTATTTTTATAAAAAATATTTCTCCTCAGTTCCGTTCTACATTGCCTTCAGGTCATGTGATACTTTGCAGTCTGTCTGTAGGCCTATTTGGAGGCACATCAAACCAAGCGTGGCCCTGTGAAATGCTATTGTGTAAGTGTTTTGGTTTCTGGGTTCTTCTCTTCCCAGGTGCTTGGTTCAGAAGGTTGAGGTTGAGGAGTTGCTTCCTCTGCCTGGTGCACCACATGCGTTTGCCGTTCGTTTATGAGAGGCATCGGATTGCATGACTGAAAATGGCACATGAAATAAAAAAAACACAGAGAATTCAGGATGGAATTCAGACTATCAAAGACGGACAACTCCACAGTCAATTCAACTCAAGGTGCCATGGCTACTACATACACTGTGTAATGCCGATAGCACTACTTTCAAATTAGACAACTGTGCTTCCTTTGGCTCATACAGTATCTGGCTACGATCAGCTCAGTGGAGCCTATTCAAATCACACACAGAGATACTATTACATTTTTGTCATCCTACAGTAAACATGTCCCTTTTCATAAATACCAGAAAACAATCTGAATCGGAGTGTGTACCCACAGAACAATACACTGGCTGCAGGCCTGTCAGCTGAAAGTTTAGCAGACGCTCTTATCCAGAGTGACTTACATTATTATTATTTTTTTCATACTGTCCCCCCGTGGGAATCAAACCCACAACCCTGGCGTTGCAAACGCCATGCTTTACCAACTGAGCTACATCCCTGCCGGCCATTCCCTCCCCTACCCTGGATGCCGCTGGGCCAATTGTGCGTCGCCTCATGGGTCTCCCGGTCGCAGCCGGCTACGACAGAGCCTGGATTCGAACTAGGATCTCTAGTGGCACAGCTAGCACTGCGATGCAATGCCTTAGACCACTGTGCCACTCGGGAGTCTAGTAGCATGCAGAAGTTGTTACGCTTGTGATCTCAAACGCAGGCTCTGGTTTACCTCACTTGCATCTACTAATAATAGACATACTGGTATGATTAACCCAAATCACTGCCACAATACTGTAGCTATTACTATGTTGCTGCTAAGGACACATCTTGTTCTAGTTTTTATCAATAAGGAACTAATGATAGTTGTAGACAAGAATATCCAAGATCCAGGGTGAGAACAACATAGCTAAAAACTGGACACAGATTAAGTCTTTAATTAAAAAGCATGCTCAATGGAGAATCTCCATTGAAATAGCTTTTTAGTCCAGTATTTATCTGTCTGGGAAATCAGCCCTAAATGTTGTTGGTTGTATTGATGTGATTTTTAACAGACCAATGTATATGTCAAAAGTCATGTATTTCCCTCATTGCACTTTTAAGACATTGAGAGAACAGAAAACAGCAGAAAACAGGATGTAACTGACTTCTGACTGATAAGTAAGTGGTCAATGTGCAAACATGCGGACACTGGTGGAGCAATACTCGTCAACCACAAGACAGGAACATGTGGCACAATTTTCCACTATGTATAAGAAATAGAGATGTACACAATGTGTCTTTGTGTGGAAGAGGCCACTGAAAATATATTACAAAATGCAGTTAGGTTTTATATTATAGTTTCACATTTTTATTTTATCTACTGTATAGTCAAATTTTTTGAACATTTGCCTCCAATGGAAAATATTAAGAAGAACTTCCTCTATTCAAACTGTAATGCTCCTATGTATACACCCCAATCTGACTTACTTGACTAAAGCCCTAGGTTCCTTGACTTGAGCACTGTATACCCTCCAGTATACACTCCAGTAACTGATTATAGTGGTGACGAGTTGAGTCAAGTCAGGCACCTTTATCCTCTCATTACAAGCCATTAGATGAAGGTCAAAGAACAGGGTCCCATGACCTGAAAGAGCTCAGGGCTGTATTAGATATAGTGGGTCACAGCAAGTGCTATGTAGTCAGACAGTATAAGTGGCACTTTTCTCTGCAGTTATCTTAGAATGCCCTGTGTGTGTGTGTGTGTGTGCTTGCACTAGTGTATGTGTCATGCTATGTAAAAATGATTTAGTTTTCCTTCACGGGGTGAAGAGCAAGACTTACCACTGTCTCTTCTGCTGTACAGAGAGTTGTCCTCCATCCCCATTTCTGCAGGATCTGCCTTTGATCGCTGCATACTGCTACGCCTCATCCCTCCTTTCTCACCCCAGTTCATCTGCATGGGCCAAATATACCAGTCATCATAAACATACTGTGAACGTCAACATTTCCACATTTTGGAAGAAAACAGACTGCAGGGCATTGGAATGTATGTATTGTTGGTTGTGCGTAATAATAGCAGTGTTCACTTGTGTACTTAGCAGTGTTCACTTGTGTACTTAGCACCAGATCTGTACCAGCTGTTTCACCAGTGTTAGTTGGATAATGGATAATGCTGGCTAGCTACTGCTGTGGCACTGTTTTTTTCCACCTGAATTGTATTTTGCTAACACAAAGCATATAAGGGAGAGACTGTTTACTAAGTTCAAAATACAAGCTGAGTGAGCCATTAGTCTTCAGCAGTCAGCTAAAAACAGTTCAAATTGGTGGGTTTCTTTGCTAAACCCTGCCACTGTTTTTCATCACATGATGGTAGAGTCAAACCTCAGAAGCCAGTGTGTGACTATCTTTTTATAGCATGACAGTTTTGAGTTCCTGAATTATCTGCTTGCTTTTCAAACATATCTTGAAGTGTAATGTCATATATTGCTGTATGTATGTTGCTGTATCAGTTATGATTTAGGTCCCCAGCCCTATGTTGAACTGTACATGAACTGTACATGCAGCATCACAGAAAGTGAGACCCCTCTACTTTTAAGCAGAATCAAACCTGACAGAACAAGGGATCTGACTGAACGTACAGGGAATGCAATTTCACAAAGTTTCTGTGTCCAGTCGTCCAGCTCGACCATCTCCGCAGCAAACACAAAAAGTTTGTCTGCTGTCTCCACATGGAACTGGCCACAGTCTTTCGGGGAGCCCTCAATGTCCACCTCTGACACCCGGATACAGTCGCTTAGCTTGATCACCTTCTTGCTCTCCTGCTGCTTGCGGAGGCTTTTGTCTGATTTCTCCAGGGTGCTCGCACCATCTTTGTATTCAAAGAACTCCAAGCGTGAGATGGAGCAGGTACTCTCCCTGTACAGGATCGACCAGACCTTTTTCCATTTCTGTAGGGGAGTATACAAAGCATTGGGTCAGACAGCAACCAATATTTACATTTTTAAGAGATGTCTCTACGTGGTTACTGTAAACCCTATTACTAGTTTCACTTCCTATAGCCTGGAATAGGTTTGACCGTATCCAACTTGTTCAGCATGTGAAAAGAGGAAGACAAAGTGAATCTATCATTCTGAATCCAATTTCAACACTGCTCTTCATATGGCATTGTTCAATACTGTTGAAGGGAATAACTTGGATGCGTTGCTCTGTGAATGAAGTCCCTTTAAAACATGAAATATTTTGCAATACTACAAAGAAATGCGATTGATTCAGTCTGCCACAGTGGAGATGGGTTTTACAGATTGGCTGCTACTGCTGCTATTGCACGACTAAATCAAAACCCTCTAAGGGGAATTTCGACACTGGTCTGAGACCTGCAATACTGCTCCTGGAGCTAATACAAACACATCAGGGAAGTCTAGCCTGACAGGAAATTGACCTTAAGTATAGGTTACTCCCCCTGGTTTAACTAAACAGAGACTCTTTAATCTACATAAGTCGTTGGTACTGAACAATGCAAATCTTTGGCTGTACCACATAAAAGTTATTGGTTGATGTTTGTCTTTATAACTGGATAAATACCGCTGGTGATTCCAACAGATGACTATCTCAAGGCAAACTTCTCATGAAGAGATTGAAAACTGTGAAAAAGGAAATATGTATGTAATAGAGAGAAGTAGTAATTGCATCTTTTTGTAGGCACTAACTCTGCCATGGTTCTTTGGACAAAGCCTATGGGGAAATTAGTGTCATTTTTGTAGGGGTTTTGGATAAAGCCGAAAATAAGGTCTGTGGTAAAGACAGGCTTAGGAGATCTTATACGTTTTGTTCTGAGATAATCTTCATCAGCTAACGTCACTTTTTGTGAATTTTGAAGCATTTATGTAATTCTTAAAAAGCACATAAAGGCTTCATAATTAATAAAGGTCATGTTAACTGACTGATATTGTCCCATAAAACAAAACATATAACCTCAGACCTTATTTTCTGTGTTTATCACAAAACCCTATTCTTTCCCCATTCATTTTCACCATAGGGATGGCTGAACGAACCAGAGGTAACTCATTTCCGAGTTTTAGGACTACAAGCTGGCAAACTCTATACAACACAGCAGAGTATTTAACGCTCTCTCTTCAGTCATGTGTGGCAACATCATTATACTGTCTTTCTTGATGAGCGTTAGCTATACTGTACAAAAAAATCTAGTTGTTTCAACGTATTATTATTATTATTAAGTAACTGGTTCCACAGCCATTTTTTTTATTTACTCAACTTTTTGGTCCAAGTGTTACCTGAACTAGAAAAAAATTGTTGGCCTAAAATTCAGTCAATTTAAAATGATGTGTTTGCTCAACTTGTCTCACATGTTCATTCAACTATAAATTATTATTTGGGCATCTAAAACTAAAAAAGGATGTGCAACTGGTTACACACACACAAACAGTGCTTTTATCTTTCATATTGTACACACGTTGACATACATGATTACATTGTGCATGTTCATTTATACAGTCATTATTATTCAACATGTCCTAACCTGGGATTTGAACTCACAACCTCTTGGTTCATGGCATTTTGATCTTCCTGCTACACCACCATGTCTGTGTCAATTATCAGTTAATCTGACTATTCTCTCGTCATTGTTTTGATTTACTTATTTCAGCAATTATGGGGGTTTCTGTATAGTTGTCTAATGTTGGTGGAGCATATTACTCTGTTTTAATGTTACTCCTTAATAAATCAAATAGTTTTTCTTGAGTGTACTTTTAACAGAGCTGAGATTTAGTGCAAAGTGTAGCAATAGAGGCGAAAACAGTCATTGAAATCAGTAATTGACACAGACATGGTAGCGTAGCAGGAAGATTGGAATGCAGTGAGGTTGCGAGTTAAAATCCCAGATGAGGACATGTTGAATATGAATTACTGTATAAATGCACATAATAATTGAAAACATTGTATGTTAAAAACACTGTGTGTTTGTATAACTAATTCCACAGCCTTTTTTAGGTAAGACGCACAAATAATAATTTCTAGTTGAATGAACATATGAGACAATTTGAGCGAACACATCATTTTAAATTGGCTGAATTTCTGAAGTTTGGTCCAACTATTTTTTTTTCTTTCAGGTAACACTTGGACCGAAAAGTGGAGTAAACCAAAAAAAGGCTGTGGAACCAGTTATTTCATAATCATTCGTTGAAACAACTAGACGTTTTGTTTTACGGTGTAGATGATTTCACAACCTCAATCCATTAGCAGCTCTTTCTTACATGATAAGAATAGCACTAATTCGATTGGTGGATGACTCATGCTCATGATATCGAGAAGGCATAAGCCATTGAGTTTACGTGTGTGAGTAAGCAACACATATTAATACAGTGTGTACAGGCCACACAGAGACTCTTAGAAGAGTGCCAGATCTTACCTTGCCAAACCTCTGTTGCTGTAAGTAGAGCATTCCTTTCTTCCTGATGTCCTCCTCCATGGTGTACCAGCTCTCAGTTGCCCCTACTCCTCTCCACTTTTATCTCTGTTCAGCACGACACCCTGCTTGTGGTATCTATCTACAAATGAAGCAAACACCTCAAGTTCCCTGTCATGTTGACTTCCTGTATGCGCCGCTGCATCACAGAACACATCCGTCTAGAACTAGGACACGGGGTGTGTGTGGTACATTTTTGTCATTTAGCAGACGCTCTTATCCAGAGCGACATAAAGGAGCAATTAGAGTTAAGTGCTTTGCTCATGGGCACATCGACCGATTTTTCCCCTAGTCGGCTCAGGGATTCGAAACAGCAACCTTTGGTTACTGGCCCAACGCTCTTAACCGCTAGGCTATCTGCCACCCTGTGCGTGTGCGTGTGTGTGTGTTTGTGTGTGTGGCCTTTTGGTGAGTGAACCTCTTGTTTCTCAATCACAAGAGCCGCAATTGTTTTGCATGTTGTTTGAATGTTACATATTACATGATCTCTGTAGCTCAGCTGGTAGACAACAGGCGCTTGTAACGCCAAGGTAGTGGGTTCGATCCCCGGGACCACCCATACACAAAAAATGTATGCACGCATGACTGTAAGTCGCTTTGGATAAAAGCGTCTGCTAAATGGCATATTATTATTATTATTATTTATCTGGAGTGTGATATGTGTACAAGTGGCGCCTATCATAAGTCAAATATAATTGGTGTAGCAGGATGGCTGAACAAATCTCATAATCTTATAGCCTTATTGGAATAGGCTACATTTAGTAAATTCTGTACAATTATTTTATTTTCATTTCACAACCCGTCTGACTCTGTGTTCAAATTATTGCATCCTTCCTGTGTCAATTTTCCATCATCTAAGCAACATTTGAATAACTACAAAATAGACTTCTTGGCTATATTTGGGTCATGTTAGCAAAAAACTGTAAGGGGTCCCAAACTTTTTCACTCGGGGGGCCCCCTTTCCAGCATTGGGGAACATCCCGCGCCCCGCCCTGCGCGTGCGCCACGCCTATTTTTATGGGCAAAAGCACTGTTCATGACACAAACTGTTCACATCCCTCTTGTTGGTGGAGAGAATTTTGCAGGTTTAAAGCAAATTTTCTTGCAATTCTATACATTTCGCCATGTCTAATGTGTATTCATGTGACATTTGAGTGACAAAAGAATTACAACAATATCTATGGGCTAAAAAAACGACATCATTTTTTTTTTTGCTGACATGGGCTAGTTGATCTGGACGTTTCTGACAAGTTATAAATAGCTCTCTAAGGTATGCAATTACTAACATGACAATTTTCTACATTGTAAAATAATAGTGAAGACATCAAAACTATGAAATAACACATATGGAATCATGTAGTCACCAGAAAAGTGTGAAACAAATATTTTATATTTGAGATTCTTCAAAGTAGCCACCCGTTGCCTTGATGACAACTTTGCACACTCTTGGCATTCTCTCAACCAGCTTCATGAGGTAGTCACCTGGAATGCATTTCAATTAAGAGGTGTGCCTTGTTAAAAGTTAATTTGTGGAATTTCTTTCCTTCTTAATGCGTTTGAGCCAATCAGTTGTTGTGACAAGGTAGGGGAGGTATACAGAAGATAGCCCTATTTGGTAAAAGACCAAGTCCATATTATGGCAAGAACAGCTCAAATAAGCAAAAACAAATGACAGTCCATGATTACTTTAAGACATGAAAGTCAGTCAATGTTTCTTCAAGTGCAGTCGCAAAAACCATCAAGCAGTATGATGAAACTGGCTCTCATGAGGACCGCCACAGGAAAGGAAGACCCAGAGTTACCTCTGCTGCAGAGGATAAGTTCATTAGAGTTAACTGCACCTCAGATTGTAGCCCAAACAAATGCTTCACAGAGCTCAAGTAACAGACACATCTCAACATCCACTGTTCAGAGGAGACTGCGTGAATCAGGCCTTCATGGTCGAATTGCTGCAAAGAAACCACTACTAAACGACACCAATAAGAAGAAGAGACTTGCTTGGGCCAAGAACTACGAGCAATGGACATTAGACCGGTGGAAATCTGTCCTTTGGTCTGATGAGTCCAAATTTGACATTTTTGGTTCCAACCGCCATGTTTTTGTGAGACACAGAGTAGCTGAACGGATGTTCTCGGCATGTGTGGTTCCCACCGTGAAGCATGGATGATGAGGTGTGATGTTGTGGGGGTGCTTTGCTGGTGACACTGTCAGTGATATATTTAGAATTCAAGGCACACTTAATCAGCATGGCTACCACAGCATTCTGCAGTGATACGCCATCCCATCTAGTTTGCGCTTGGTGGGACTATCATTTGTTTTTCAACAGGACAATGACCCAACACACCTCCAGGCTGTGTAAGGGCTATTTGACCAAGAAGGAGAGTGCTGCATCAGATGACCTGGCCTCCACAATCACCCGACCTCAACCCAATTGAGATGGTTTGGGATGAGTCGGACCTCAGAGTGAAAGAAAAGCAGCCAACAAGTGCTCAGCATATGTGGGAACTCCTTCAAGACTGTTGGAAAAGCATTCCAGGTGAAGCTGGTTGAGAGAATGCCAAGAGTGTGCAAAGCTGTCATCAAGGCAAAGGGTGGCTATTTGAAGAATCTCAAATATAAAATAGAGCTTCTACCCCCAAGCCATAAGACTCCTGAACAGCTAATCATGGCGTATATTTGAGTATATCTTTTCATGTGACAACACTGAAGAAATGACACTTTGCTACAATGTAAAGTAGTGAGTGTACAGCTTGTATAACAGTGTACATTTGCTGTCCCCTCAAAATAACTCAACACACAGCCATTAATGTCTAAACCGCTGGCAACAAAAGTGAGTACACCCCTAAGTGAAAATGTCCAAATTGGGCCCAAAGTGTCAATATTTTGTGTGGCCACCATCATTTTCCAGTACTGCCTTAACCCTCTTGGGAATGGAGTTCACCAGAGCTTCACAGGTTGCCACTGGAGTCCTCTTCCACTCCTCCATGACGACATCACGGAGCTGGTGGATGTTAGAGACCTTGCACTCCTCCACCTTCCGTTTGAGGATGCACCACAGATGCTCAATAGGGTTTAGGTCTGGTACATGTTTGGCCAGTCCATCACCTTTACCCTCAGCTTCTTTAGCAAGGCAGTGGTCGTCTTGGAGGTGTGTTTGGGGTCGTTATCATGTTGGAATACTGCCCTGCGGCCCAGTCTCCGAAGGGAGGGGATAATGCTCTGCTTCAGTATGTCACAGTACATGTTGGCATTCATGGTTACCTCAATGACTTGTAGTCCCCAGTGCCGGCAGCACTCATGCAGCCCCAGACCATGACACTCCCACCACCATGCTTGACTGTAGGCAAGACACACTTGTCTTTGTATTCCTCACCTGGTTGCTCCACACACGCTTGACACCATCTGAACCAAATAAGTTTATCTTGGTCTCATCAGACCACAGGACATGGTTCCAGTAATCCAGGTCCTTAGTCTGCTTGTCTTCAGCAAACTGTTTGCGGGCTTTCTTGTGCATCATCTTTAGAAGAGGCTTCCTTCTGGGACGACAGCCATGCAGACCAATTTGATGCAGTGTGCGGCGTATGGTCTGAGCACTGACAGGTTGACCCCCCACCCCTTCAACCTCTGCAGCAATGCTGGCAGCACTCATACGTCTATTTCCCAAAGATAACCTCTGGATATGACGCTGAGCACGTGCACTCAACTTCTTTGGTCGACCATGGCGAGGCCTGTTCTGAGTGGAACCTGTCCTGTTAAACCGCTGTATGGTCTTGGCCACCGTGCTGCAGCTCAGTTTCAGGGTCTTGGCAATCTTCTTATAGCCCAGGCCATCTTTATGTAGAGCAACAATTCTTTTTTTCAGATCCTCAGAGAGTTCTTTGCCATTAGGTGCCATGTTGAACTTCCAGTGACCAGTATGAGGGAGTGTGAGAGCGATGACACCTAATTTAACACACCTGCTCCCCATTCACACCTGAGACCTTGTAACACTAACGAGTCACATGACACCGGGGAGGGAAAATGGCTAATTGGGCCCAATTTGGACATTTTCACTTAGGAGTGTACTCACTTTTGTTGCCAGCGGTTTAAACATTAATGGCTGTGTGTTTAGTTATTTTGAGGGGACAGCAAATTTACACTGTTATACAAGCTACTTCACTACTTTACATTGTAGCAAAGTGTCATTTCTTCAGTGTTGTCACATGAAAAGATATATTCAAATATTTACAGAAATGTGAGGGGTGTACTCACTTTTGTGAGATACTGTATATATATATATTTAAGCAATAAGGCCTGAGGGGGTGTGGTATATGTGGTCCTCTGTAGCTCAGCTGGTAGAGCACGGTGCTTGTAACGCCAAGGTAGTGGGTTCTATCCCCGGGACCACCCATACACAAAAATGTATGCACGCATGACTGTAAGTCGCTTTGGATAAAAGCGTCTGCTAAATGGCATATTATTATTATTATATGAACAATATACCACAACTAAGGGCTGTTCTTATGCATGACGCAACGCGGAATGACTGGAAACAGTCCTTAGCCGTGGTATAATAGCCATATAACACAACCCCCAGAGGTGCCTTATTGCTATTATAAACTGGTTACCAATGTAATTAGAGCAGTAAAAATAAATGTTTTGTCATACCCCTGGTATATGGTCTGATATACCACAGCTGTCAGCCAATCAACATTCAGCGCTCGAACACCACAGTTTGCGAACCACTGGCCTATGTCACCTGTATTGGTCAGGTGAAAACATGCAACATGTTCTTTGTGATAGGCTTCTGGTTGTTCTGGAAAGAGGCCCTGTTGTCAATGACAATTAAAATAAGGGTCTAATAAGGCAATAAATAAAACCAATAAACACATTTTTATTATTTTGTTTTGTTGTTATAATAAAAATTCGATAATAAGGTCAGTGAAAGAGATGTATCATAGGTAAATAGATGCATCATAGGTAATGGTCTAGGCCTGCCTAAGGTAATTTTCGTATAGAAGCGCACGAGCTTGAGAAGGATGGGAAAGGGGAATGTGATGTAATGTATTGTATTTATGTTAATCACCTATTTTTTACCCAAACAACTAGTGAAATATAACCAACAACAACAACAACAACAACAAATATATAGCCTATAAAAAAAAAAAGGAAAAGTGGGGAAGGTGTGTATTGTGTACAGCTAGCTAGTTACTAAGCAACGATGGTGGAGTGAGCAGCAGTGGCATTGAGTAGCTGGATAACTTTTCTGCTCGCTGGCAAACAACGAGTGACAGACTGCTTATTGTTACAATATAGCGAAATAAGGTTAGCTATAATCAACAGTTTTTTAATAAGAATAATAATTATTTTGTTAGAGTATGGCTAGCACGCGGATTTCGGAGCAATTGCCCCCGCATATTGACCCGACTCAAGCACCTGTTGCATTCGGCAACCGAGCCCTTCCTCGGCTCTCTCTGGAACTGCAAGATCCACAGCTGTGCATACGACAGAGAGCTCTTGCAGCCCTCTGCGACCTGGTTCATGACCCAGAGAGGGCATATGAGGCTATTCACAAAGGTAAGATGCATATTGCATTAGTATAAAATCCTTGCTTTCTTAAAGAAAACATTAGTGGAATATCATTTTTAAATGAATTGCTGAACCTGTTTCATGAGGCACAAATCTTGCATTGTAATGATTTTGGGAGAGAATACATTCACCTGTGCAGGTTAACCTGGTGTCATTGTTAGGATATTGTAGTGCTGGCCACCCAGTCATGTATGCTCAAGTGTTGAGTCATTTGCATAAGGCAGATACACGCTTGTTATCAGCTAGAGCGCAGGACTGTTCACTATTGTTATGTTCCCACGGTTGCCCATTGTTTACTTAGTTGGCTGATATCTCACTGCATGGACGCTGGATCTCCCCGTTCTGTGCCCGAGATAGCTAGCCCTACTAGCCTACACTCCGAATAAGACAGTTCTAGTGCTTTTTATTATTTACCTTTGAAGCTGACTGCCTGAACGAATATCCTTGTCGTGGACTCAGTTCGTACCCACGCACAACATCACGACAATATTGTCCTTGAGGAAGCTAGAAGTGTGCCTGTTAATTGCACAATAGTCAACAAAAGGGGACAACAAGGCTTAGCCTTCTGAGTAGATCATTTGGGCTACATTCTTCACAAAGCTTTCTCTTAACCAGTGGGAAGTAAATGTTTCGGAACTAGATATCCTCTGTGAATTTGTTTCAGGCTGTTTGGAGAGGCTGAAGGTCCTGCTGCAAGACGGAGACAGCTCAGTGAGATTCAAAACTACAGAAGTCCTTTACCTACTAGCTACCCATAATGTGGGGAGGTGAGCAATCCCATTCCCAGGGATAATTTGGTCCACCCAATGGTCAAAAAAATGCACACACGTGCTATGGTTACTGCAGACAGTAGGTGGCAGCCTAGTACAATATGGTTTATCAACAATGTCAATGACCATAGTCAAAGAGGAAGAGGCGAAGCAAGGTCGTTTACTCGCCCAAAGTCTGTCTACGTTAAGCAGATCATTAATTATTAAGTAAGTGAAGAGTTTTTGTATTGCGGCAATGAGTGTCAAATTTAGTCAAGATACAAAATTAATTGCTTTATTGATACGTGAGGCTTATTTGATCTAATATACGTTTTGTAATGCTTAGGTTGTTACGAGTGTACTGATAATAAGTGTGATGCACCTGACATCCCGGCCACTTTGAGAAGAAACACTTTATTTCGGAGTTGTCCCTGTTGAAATTTGAAATGTCTATGCATATTCACAAGGCTAGCATCTCACTCTCCATTGAATACAGGCGGATGACTTCAACACCTCTCATCGAATATTCAAAAAAGTATTCAAATAACGAGATGTATCGTTATTTGAATACTCTGTGGACAACGAATCCCATTGTTAGGGCGGCGACACAAGCATCTTGTCATTATATCCAGTATCTCTGCCACAGTCATCTTCTGTATGGCAAGTTATCCTGAGCAAACAATCCTTAGTAAAACATTTTTGGGGTACTTATTTCACACCCATAAATAGTAGACAAGACTAGACTTGTGGCAAATTAGTGTAAGAAATCTTGGGTGGGGTGGCGTTTGTTGTGAGTGACACATGTGTATGTCCCTAGAGAAGCCTTCCTCACGTGGGATGTGGTGGCTCCACTGTCTGATCTTCTAGACGAGCCAGTTGATGCCTGTCGTAAAAACATGCATCGTGCACTGAAGATGGTGGCTGAGTTTCCTGCAGGTACGTAGGCCTAGGCTTTGGTCTTTGGTTTTCAGCTGCCCCAATTACAGTGACACTCCAGGCAAGCTGAAGGACATCATTACACATTACATTTGGATGTATTTTGATTTAGACACTATTCAAACACTATAGCTGTGTTCGAATACCCATACTAAATCAAATCAAATCACATTTTATTGGTCACATACACGTGTTAAACAGATGTTATTGCGGGTGTAGCGAAATGCTTGTGTTTCTATTTCTGACAGTGCAGTATATCTAACAAGTAATATCTAACAATTTCACAACATATACCCAATACACACAAATCTAAGTAAAGCAACGGAATTAAGAAGGCTCTGTCGTAGCCGGCCGCAACCGGGAGACCCATGGGGCGGCGCACAATTGGCCCAGCGTCGTCCAGGGTAGGGGAGGGAATGGCCGGCAGGGATGTAGCTCAGTTGGTAGAGCATGGCGTTTGCAACGCCAGGGTTGTGGGTTCGATTCCCACGGGGGGGCCGGTATGAAAAAAAAAAAAAAAAAAAAAAAAAAAAATGTATGCACTCACTAACTGTAAGTCGCTCTGGATAAGAGCGTCTGCTAAATGACTAAAATGTAAGAATATATAAATAAATATATGGACGAGCAATGTCAGAACGGCATAGACTAAGATACAGTAGAATAGTATAGAATACAGTATATACATATGAGATGAGTAATGTAAGATATGTAAACATTATTAAAGTGGCTAGCCTTCCTGTGAGATCAGGTGCTGTAGGTGTCCTGGAGGGCTGGTAGTTTGCCCCCGGTGATGCGTTGGGCAGACCGCACCACCCTCTGGAGAGCCCTCCAGTTGCCGTACCAGGCGGTGATACAGCCCGACAGGATGCTCTCAATTGTGCATCTGTAAAAGTTTGTGAGGGTTTTACTAACATACTGTATACTACATACTTAATGAGTATATACTACATACTATATACTATTAGTTCATTTTAGTATACTGTAAATTAATGGTATCCTTTCAGTTGAACGTATGAGCGCTTCGCCTGTCTACCGGAAGTTGATGCTGTTGCTATGCAACCTCTTGCTAGCTTGTTAGCATTTTATGACTTCGGTGTGTTATTAAGGGTACGTTCGTAAATTCAATCTGGGGTGCCAGACTCTGGGCGTTCGTAAATTCAGAGCGTTTCGCTCTCGGAGCGTTCAGAGCGCACACTGCCAGGCAGTGTCACTAGACGCTCTGGCCGAGGAGTAGGGTTGATCCGAGCATTCTGACCTCACAACAGCAGTCAAGCACCCAAGCTAACTGGCTAACTTGCTAGCTACTTCCAGCCACAAATGAGAGAACACCTCAGTCTGACCATTTTACTCGCCCTAGCAGAGCTGGTTAGGCTGTTTTCATGTTATCCAGAGTGTTGGTGACTGTACCTGTGCTGCTGGCAACAATTAAATTCTGCTGTTTTGCTGACGTTTACTGACACCGGCCATATTCAACTGGTGTTGAGTGTTAGTGGCCACCAGGACTATTTGCAAATGGCCACCTATTAATCAAATGGCCACCTGGACTATTTGCATTGACAGCCCCCCCCCCCCCCCCCCCCCTTTGTTTTTATACTGCTGCTTCTCGCTGTTTATTATCTATGCATAGTCACTTTACCCCTACCTACACGTACAAATTACCTCAACTTCCTGTACCCCCGTACATTGACTCGTTACCGGTACCCCCTGTATATAGCCTCATTATTGTTATTTTATTATGTTACTTTTTTACATCTTTAAAAAAAAAAAAATGTTTATTTAGTAAATATTTTTTAAACTCTATTTTCTTAAAACTGCATTGTTGGTTAAGGGCTTGTAAGTAAGCATTTCACGGTACGGTCTACACCTGTTGTATTCGGCGCATGTGACAAATAACATTCGATAGAAGCTCTTACACAAGATCTTCTAAATGCAACAATTATTAATGAAACCTTTATTTAACCAGGTAAGCCAGTTGAGAACAGGTTCTCATTTACAACTGCGACCTGGCCAAGATAAAGCAAAGTAGTGCAATAAAAACAACACAGAGTTACATATGGGGTAAAAAAAAAAACATAAAGTCAGAAATACAACAGAAAATATATATACAGTGTGTGCAAATGTAGCAAGTTATGGAGGTAAGGCAATAAATAGGCTATAGTGCAGAATAATTACAATAGTATTAACACTGGAATGCTAGATGTGCAAGAGATGATGTGCAAATAGAGATACTGGGGTGCAAAAGAGCAAAATAAATAACAATATAGGGATGAGGTAGTTGGGTGGGCTAATTTCAGATGGGCTGTGTACAGGTGCAGTGATCGGTAAGGTGCTCTGACAACTGATGCTTAAAGTTATTGAGGGAGATAAGAGTCTCCAGCTTCAGAGATTTTTGCAATTCGTTCCAGTCATTGGCAGCAGAGAACTGGAAGGAATGGCGGCCAAAGGAGGTGTTGGCTTTGGGAATGACCAGTGAGATATACCTGCTGGAGCGCAGACTACGGGTGGGTGCTGCTATGGTGACCAATGAGCTAAGATAAGGCGGGGATTTGCCTAGCAGTGATTTATAGATGGCCTGGAGCCAGTGGGTTTGACGACGAACATGTAGTGAGGACCAGCCAACAAGAGCGTACAGGTCACAGTGGTGGGTAGTGTATGGGGCTTTGGAGACAAAACGGATGGCACTGTGATAGACTACATCCAATTTGCTGAGTAGAGTGTTGGAGGCTATTTTGTAAATGACATCACCGAAGTCAAGGATCGGTAGGATAGTCAGTTTTACGAGGGCATGTTTGGCAGCATGAGTGAAGGAGGCTTTGTTGCGAAATAGGAAGCCGATTCTAGATTTAACTTTGGATTGGAGATTCTTTATGTGAGTCTGGAAGTTGAGTTTACAGTCTAACCAGACACCTAGGTATTTGTAGTTGTCCACATACTCTAGGTCAACCCGTCGAGAGTGGTGATTCTAGTCGGGTGGGCGGGTGCTAGCAGCGTTCGATTGAAAAGCATGCATTTAGTTTTACTAGTGTTTAAGAGCAGTTGAAGGCTACTGAAGGATTGTTGTATGGCATTGAAGCTCGCTTGGAGGTTTGTTAACACAGTGTCCAATGAAGGGCCAGATGTATACAAAATGGTGTCGTCTGCGTAGAGGTGGATCTGAGAGTCACCAGCAGCAAGAGCGACATCATTGATATACACGGAGAAAAGTGTCGGCCCAAGAATTGAACCCTGTGGCACCCCCATAGAGACTGCCATAGGTCCAGACAACAGGCCCTCCGATTTGACACACTGAACTCTATCTGAGAAGTAGTTGGTGAACCAGGCGAGGCAGTCATTTGAGAAACCAAGGCTATTTAGTCTGCCAATAAGAATGCGGTGGTTGACAGAGTCGAAAGCCTTGGCCAGGTCGATGAAGACGGCTGCACAGTACTGTCTATTATCAATCGTGGTTATAATATCGTTTAGGACCTTGAGCATGGCTGAAGTGCACCCGTGACCAGCTCGGAAACCGGATTGCATAGCGGAGAAGGTACGGTGGTATTCGAAATGGTCGATGATCTGTTTGTTAACTTGGCTTTCGAATACTTTCGAAAGGCAGGGCAGGATGGATATAGGTCTGTAGCAGTTTGGATCTAGAGTGTCACCCCCTTTGAAGAGGGGGATGACCGCGGCAGCTTTCCAATCTCTGGGGATCTCAGACGTTATGAAAGAGAGGTTGAACAAACTAGTAATAGGGGTTGCGACAATTTCGGCGGCTAGTTTTAGAAAGAAAGGGTCCAGATTGTCTAGCCCAGCTGATTTGTAGGGGTCCAGATTTTGCAGCGCTTTCAAAACATCAGCTGTCTGAATTTGTGTGAAGGAGAAGCGGGGGGGGCATGGGCAAGTTGCAGCAGAGGGTGCAGAGTTGGTGGCCGGGTTAGTGGTAGCCAGATGGAAAGCATGGCCAGCTGTAGCAAAATGCTTGTTGAAATTCTCGATTATTGTAGATTTATCGGTGGTGATAGTGTTTCCTAGCCTCAGTGCAGTGGGCAGCTGGGAGGAAGTGCTCTTATTCTCCATGGACTTTACAGTGTCCCAAAACTTTTTGGAGTTAGTGCTACAGGATGCAAATTTCTGTTTGAAAAAGTTAGCCTTTGCTTTCCTGACTGCTTGTGTATATTGGTTCCTAACTTCCCTGAAAAGTTGCATATCGCGGGGGCTATTTGATGCTAATGCTGTACGCCACAGGATGTTTTTGTGCTGGTCAAGGGCAGTCAAGTCTGAGGAGAACCAGGGGCTATATCGGTTCTTAGTTCTGTATTTTTTGAATGGGGCATGTTTATTTAAGATTGAGAGGAACTTATTTTTAAGGAACAACCAGGCATCCTCTACTGACGGAATGAGATCTATATCCATCCAGGATACCTGGGCCAGGTCAATTAGGAAGGCCTCCTCGCTAAAGTGTTTTAGGGAGCGTTTGACAGTGATGAGGGGTGGTCGTTTGACCGCGGACCCGTTACGGACGCAGGCAATAAGGCAGTGATCGCTGAGATCCTGGTTGAAGACAGCTGAGGTGTATTTAGAGGGTATGTTAGTCAGGATGATATCTATGAGGGTACCCATGTTTAAGGATTTAGGGTTGTACCTGGTAGGTTCGTTGATAATTTGCGTGAGGTTGAGGGCATCTAGCTTGGATTGTAGGATGGCTGGGGTATTAAGCATATCCCAATTTAGGTCACCAAGCAGTACAAACTCAGAGGATAAATGGGGGGCAATCAATTCACATATGGTGTCCAGGGCACAGCTGGGGGCTGAGGGGGGTCTGTAGCAAGCGGCAACAGTGAGAGACTTATTTCTGGAAAGGTGGATTTTTAGAAGTAGAAGCTCAAACTGTTTGGGCACAGACCTGGATAGTATGATAGAGCTCTGCAGGCTATCTCTACAGTAGATTGCAACTCCACCCCCTTTGGCAGTTCTATCTAGACGGAAAATGTTATAATTGGGGATGGAAATTTCAGAATTTTTGGTGGCCTTCCTGAGCCAGGATTCAGACACTGCTAGAACATCAGGATTGGCAGAGTGTGCTAACGCAGTGAATAACTCAAACTTAGGAAGTAGACTTCTGATATTTATGTGCAAGAAACCAAGACTTTTGCGATTACAGAAGTCATCAAATGATAGCTCCTGGGGAGTAGGAGTGATACTGGGGGCTACAGGGCCTGGGTTAGCCTCTACATCACCAGAGGAACAGAGGAGGACTAGAATAAGGATACGGCTAAAGGCTTTAAGAACTGGTCTTCTAGTGCGTTGGGTACATAGAATAAAGGGGGCAGATTTCCGGGTGTTATAGAAAAGATTCAGGGCATTGTGTACAGACAAGGATATGGAAGGATATGAGTAAAGTGGAGGTAAACCTAAGCGTTGGATTCATTGAAAGAGACTGGTATCAATTCAAATCCTTAGATGATGGCCATGTTTTAGGGCCTTATGACGTTATGACCTCCTGTCTCCTGGGCAGGTGCAGTGTGTATGGTGACTTTGGGCTTGGTTCCCCGGCTGGTGATGAAGCTGCCTGTTGAGCAGGAGGAGATCCGGGCCCTGATCCTGGCCACTCTCAGCTACTGTGTGAGGGTGGATGCCCTGCCGGCCCTGGCCAGTGACGGAGTGCCCATGCTGCGAAACCAGCTGTCTCACCCCTCCCCTGACATCCGCCGGGCCGCAGCCTCCGCCATGGTGGGCATCAGGTGAGCAGAGACACAAACATGGGCTGAGTCCCAAATGGCACCTTATTCCATACATACTGCACTACTTTTGAACAGAGCCCTATGACAGGGCCAATAAAACAAATAGATTTAAGTATTTGGAATCACGTAGGACAAAAAATGCACTCTAGTAATATGTGCAGGCAAAATGAAAATCAAATTAAATGTAAGTGGAAACAGCTTGCTTTGAACTAAGTTGTGATTCCATTTGAAGAACCCTGTTTGCCCTGTTAGTGTTCCATCAGAAGGGAAGCACAAGGTGTGTGAGGAGGGAGTTCTCCCAGTCCTGGTGAAGCTGCTATCAGACTGCGACCCAGGAGTGACTGCCAGTGCTGCTGGGACTATTATGAACACAGCTATTATCACTAAAGGTAAGGAGGGGAATGGTTGAATGTGAGAGAAAGGATATTTTAGATATCCATTGTGACTATTGTCGTTAGTAATAGTTTAGAGTTAGGGTGCAAGTTTGCATGTGACAACGTAGGCTTATCTCTATGTTGCTGGGAATGTACATTAAAGAGACATTCCGGAGGGTTGAAAACTACCTCGTTATTTTTTTAAACCTCCCGTTTTGTCAATGTATAGCTCATACATGCATAATAAACGATCTACAGTGCTCTCCCAGCGGAAAACCCCACAGAATCCTTAATAAACGATCTACAGTGCTCTCCCAGCGGAAAACCCCACAGAATCCTTAATAAACGATCTACAGTGCTCTCCCAGCGGAAAAGCCCACAGAATCCTTAATAAACTATCTACAGTGCTCTCCCAGCGGAAAACCCCACAGAATCCTTAATAAACGATCTACAGTGCTCTCCCAGCGGAAAAGCCCACAGAATCCTTAATAAACTATCTACAGTGCTCTCCCAGCGGAAAACCCCACAGAATCCTTAATAAACGATCGACAGTGCTCTCCCAGCGGAAAACCCCACAGAATCCTTAATAAACGATCTACAGTGCTCTCCCAGCGGAAAACCCCACAGAATCCTTAATAAACGATCTACAGTGCTCTCCCAGCGGAAAAACCCACAGAATCCTTAATAAACGGTCTACAGTGCTCTCCCAGCGGAAAACCCCACAGAATCCTTAATAAACGATCTACAGTGCTCTCCCAGCGGAAAACCCCACAGAATCCTTACATTCTAACCTGCCGTAACTTAGTGCATGAGATCTACGTGCTTGTTCCCTGTCAAGTATTGAACGTGCACTCTAAAGCAAGATGGGATGAATGGCTGCATGAGCTTATGAATGGCTGCATGCGCTTACCATTAGTTATTTTGATAACAGTGAAAATACATTGCATACGTCGATCAAATCCATGCATAAGTTAGAAAACATCCAAAATTAGATCTATAAGACCTCAGTAGTAGTTTCATTTATCTCTTTCAATGCATTTCTCTGCAAACCAGAAAATGTTGTGTGCTAAAGATGGCATTGTAGCCACACAAATACATTAGAAGATAATTGTCAACCCGATCAGAAACACTATGCTCACAACCTGTATCTCCTAAATGGTGTTTCTGGTGTATTTTGTGAGGGTGGATGTCTCCCGAGTGGCGCAGTGGTCTAAGGCACTGCATCGCAGTGCTAGCTGTGCCACTAGAGATCCTGGTTCGAATCCAGGCTCTGTCGTAGCCGGCCGCGACCGGGAGACCCATGGGGCGGCGCACAATTGGCCTAGGGTAGGGGAGGGAATGGCCGGCAGGGGATGTAGCTCAGTTTGTAGAGCATGGCGTTTGCAACGCCAGGGTTGTGGGTTCGATTCCCACGGGGGGTAAAATAAAAATAAAGTAATGTATGCACTAACTGTAAGTCGCTCTGGATAAGAGCGTCTGCTAAATGATGTAAATGTATTTTGTTTGAATTTTGGAATATATTGTGCAATAGGCGATGCGGTTTTTACAATGCGCGCGTCCATCCATTTATCCCATTCATGAATCGTGACACAACACATAACTTTGATGCACTCGAGGAATGTATACTGCAAACCCACTTGTAAGATATTGGCCTACCTTTATTTTGTGTCAACCATCCCTCCAAATGAAATAATTCCATGTGTTCACCTTTTGTCTTTATAAACTTTCACACACGTATTCCATGATATGGGGTAATCCAATGTGGGCAACACTGCAGCTGTTGATCGCCAGCGATCATCATTCATCACGTAGGCATATGATATAATCGATACACGATTTTCAAGGAGTTGGACATTTGATGCAAACATATACTGTAAGTATACATTTTCCATTGTATAAAATGTGCAGACATTATCACATTCGCTTGCTGTTTGACATACTAGTCTGCTGAGACCATGCGCTATAACGGGATAACAACCAAACATGATGGACAATGTTAATTGGCAGGTGGAATGATGTGCAATGAGGTTGCAAGGTTAAAATGGAAGGCGGCATCAGGTCAGCACAGTATTGTCCAATGAGGTTGCGGGGTGAGCCAAACGTGCACGCTCAACATGCATACCACAGAGTTTTTTTCATTCTCTTTGTGCACATGCTACAGAGGCTTGAGAACAATGACGTTATGATGTTGTACACAATTGTGCACCATTTTCAGGGACACGTTTTAACTTGTGAGCGCTACTTTCAAAACTACTGGCTGAAATTCTACAAAACTAATGGAGCATCTCTTTAACGTACTGTAATATGGACAAGAATAACCTTAATGCAAGGGTGTCAAACAGGGCCGACCCACTGGGCACAGACGTCAGTTCAATGTTTGTGTTTTGATTTACATTTGGTTGAGTTGTCAACTAACTTCAAATCAACGTGAAATCAACAAAAAAATTCGCCATGTCATTGGATTTAGGTTAACAGTTGGGTGAAAAAAATAGGAAATGCCTTTACGTTGATGAGTTTTTGCAAATCCAATTCATTTTCTACGTTGATTCTACATCATCACATAGATTTTTGGGTTTTAAATGATGTAGAAACAACGTTGATTCAACCAGTTCTTGCCCAGTGGGGAGTGTCTGTGGGCTCCCTTTCAGTCGGTTACTCAGTATAACATACTATAGGGAGTCAACGACCAATCACATTCACCTGAAGAAAACTGAAAACACGCCCAACGGGCCAATGAATGCAGAGCCCACCCTCGGAAGCCCCACCTATCTGGTTATAACACTGGGGCTCGCATTAATTTCTGCAATTCTTCGCTCTTCAGCTCGCCTGAAGCAGAACTTGTCATGCAATTTACAAGCACACAAAGACTACTGGATTCTGCTCCGACTTAGGTGTCTGTTAGTGCGGAGAGAGTACTCATCCCCTAGATGTTGCTAGTTTTGGGTCATTGCTTGGGTAGGATTTATGTTTGCTAAAAGCCTTCAGACTTCTGCTCTGCTTGTGTAGCCAGTGCTTCCTTGCTTGAGTAAGATGGCCAGTGGTAAGAGTAAGTTACAGGCTAACCAGATGGATTTGAACCTCCGACCATGCCCTAGGAAAGTGGTCACCAATGGGTCGATCGCGATTGACTGGTCGAGCTCCAAGGCATTCCTAGTCGGTCACCCAAAATGTCTGTAAAAAACCCAACAATATTTGTTGCATTTGTTTCACGCTATTGGCGGTAGGTGCACTTGATTCAGCAGCCCTAGCAAAGTGTTCCCATTTTAAACCATTTCATGTGTCTGAAGGTAGAACTCCACCTACCCGGCAGGCCCAGAGAACAAATCAAGTGCACTTATAGGCCATCTGCTGGCCAATCAGATAGCTCAGATCACCGTCTGCACAGTTTCCTCGTGCCATAGACTGTAAAAAGAAGCCTCGATCGCACAGCAAAATTGATCATGTGAGATTTCAAAACGTTTAAAACCATGACTAGAGAGAGACTCAACGAATACATCGAAGAACTGCTGTTTTTATAAGTTCATGTTTAAGTTGTTATTCAGCACTGTCAACACTTTGTTCAACACTTTTGTAAGCCATAAAATGCGCATTCTCCGTATCACAGGAGGTTGGTGGCACCTTAATTGGGGAGAACGGGCTCGTGATAATGACTGGAGCTGAATTATTGGAATGGTATCAAATACATCAAACACATGGTTTCCAGGTGTTTGATGCCATTCCATTTGCTCCGTTCCGGCCATTATTATGAGCCGTTCTTTTGTTGTTATTATTAGTGGCTTGTGGCTTTTTTAATATCAAGGAATATTCCACTTCCTCTGTTCATAGGAGTAACAACATCAATTGGTGCATGAGGCAGAAATAATGCAGTGCGACTTAAGTTTCACCATCAGCTGGAAGACTGTGTCACCTTTTCTCAGTGGAGGGAGGGCGAGAGGAGGGACTGACCATCAGTTGCAGGCCATCAGTCCAGTAAAAAAAAAAGCACATTATTATGCAAAGTTAGCTGTGGCTCACAAGTAATACAACAAATTAGACAGCTTGCATTTTGACTCAGAATGGGATCTTGACTCAGAAAAGGTTGGCGACCACTGCCCTAGTGCATGTGGTTTCACAATGAAAATATACTCAAAAGTGCTATCCTGTTTGCCTGGGGTGGAAACACGCTCGGGCTGCTTTGGCTTGGAACAGTTCCTGTGACTGGTGTCAGCGGCTGAGTTCAGACTCCCTTGTATGCTGACTTCATAGGAAAATTGGGGTTACTGGAGGAACACAGGAGGCTGCTGAGGGGAGGACAGCTCATAATAATGGCTGGAATGGAGTAAATGGAATGGCATCAAACACATGTAAACCATGGAAACCAGTGTTTGATGAGTTCAATACCATTCCATTAATTCCGTTCCAGCCATTACTATGAGACGGTCCTCCCCAATTAAGGTGCCACCAACCTCCTGGGGTTCAATTCCCCTATGGGCATTCCAGTTCTCTGCTTCCCTGAAGTTTTTCAGAAACCGCATTCTGGAAAGGATGTGGTGTCTCTTGACTGGTTTTGGGGGGTTTTCGGAGAAAGAGATGGATTCTTTGACAATTTTTGGGGCCTTCCTCAGTGTGCATAGCCAAGTTGCAGAAGGTTCTGGTTCCCTATATGGGGCTCTGACAGTTCAGGCCTCATGAGGTTCTGACAGTTCCGGCTTCTCGGGTAAGTATTAGGAAAAAAGGTGGCTTCTGTAATCCCTTTTTGGAGCCGGTGGAACCTTTGTGTGCTTGGGCTGCCGTGGGCCTCCTAGTTTGGTACCCTCTGAGCTGGCAAAACTAACATATGGAATTGTTTTAAGATGGTCATACCATCCATCATTTAGCTATTTGATTTGGAATTTTAGGACCCCTTTAGGTATCATGTAGTTTTTTGTTTTTTTTGGTACAATTATTTGATCAAATATTATATTTGGGCCTCCCGAGTGGCGCAGCGGTCTAAGGCACTGCATCGCAGTGCTTGAGGCGTCACTACAGACCCGGGTTCAATCCCAGGCTGTGTCACAACTGGCCGTGACCGGGAGTTCCATAGGGCGGCGCACAATTGTCCCAGCGTCGTCTGGGTTAGGGGAGGGTTTGACCGGGGGGGCTTTACTTGGCTCATCATGCTCTAGCAACTCCTTGTGGAAGCCTCAATGTCTCAATGGATAGTGTCAATGATAGTGTCAACCTCATCATTAACTCACTCATGCTCACTTCTCCCCTCTGTCGTCCACAGGGAAGTACCAAGCCTTAAAGGCAGGTGCCATCCCCCCGTTGCTGGAGCTGGTGGGCAGTGAGGACAGAGCTGTGTGTGCTAACGCGCTGCGTGCCCTCACCGCCCTGGCTGAAGCCCCCTGCGCTCGGGAACAGCTACTGGAACATGTGCCGCTATTAAAGGCAAGGCTCAATCACCCAGCCGCCATTATCTGCCGGGCAGCAGCCACCGCCATCCGCGTCATCTCCTGGACCCCCTGAGAGAAAGAGAGAGCAAGGGAAGGAGATACAAATACCTGCACTCTCACTCTCTGATTCTCCCTCACTCCTCTCCTTATTCTCTGTACCTCACATACATGCTCACACACACACACACACACACACAGTGCTTCTTCTACTACAGACACTCACACACTTCCTTAATGTAAATGTCTGCTTGTGTACATTTACCAGACTAGTAGACCCACCTCTTATTCATCATCTGTCTGTTTCATCTATCCTGTTCATGTGATTAAAACTGATCACAGTGGCAAGTTTTCACCTCCTCTGTATAGAGGTTCACCAACTGGCGGCCTGCGGTTGATTTTATTTGCCCCCCCCAAGTTTTCTGGCTCGCAGTTCACCCTGGACTCTACAAGGTGTCGAAAGCATTCCACAGGGATTCTGGCCCATGTTGACTCCAATGACTCCAATGCTTCCCACAGCTGGATATCCTTTGGGTGATGGACCATTCTTGATTGTCACGGTGCTGTGTATGGGTGTGGTGTAGAATCAGGCGCAGGCAGCAGAGGGTAAGTCCAACAAGACTTTACTGAGCACGAAAATTAATCCAAAACAGCCCGGAGGCAAAAAGACGCACACAGGCGTAACTACAAGCGCACACACAGGTGCGTAAATCTCTCCTCACACAACAAGGAGGAAGCTCAGGAAAAATAGCGTACCGACACGGGTAGCGCAACCACGACACGAACAATTACACACAACACAAACCTAACAACAAGGAAACTAAATAGGGTGCTAAATGAGACCTAACACAAAACAGGTGTGACTAACAGACAAAACCAAACAAACAAGAAACATCGAGCGGTGGCAGCTAGAACTCCGGAGACGACGACCGGCGAAACCTGCCCGAACAAGGAGGAGGAGCCGCCTCGGCCGAAACCGTGACAGTACCCCCCCCTTGACGCGCGGCTCCAGCCGCGCGCCGCCTCCGGCCTCGGGGACGACCAGGGGGACGCGGAGCAGGGCGCGTAGGATGACCACGATGGAATTCGGTCATCAGGGACGGATCCAGAATGTCCCTCCTTGGCACCCAGCACCGCTCCTCCGGACCGTACCCCTCCCACTCCACGAGATATTGGAGACCCCCCATCCGGCGTCTCAAATCCAGGATGGTCCGAACCGTGTACGCCGGAGCCCCCTCGATGTCCAACGGGGGCGGAGGAGTCTCCTCAATCTCAAAGTCCTGGAGTGGACCAGCTACCACCGGCCTGAGGAGAGACACATGGAACGAGGGGTTAATATTCTTGTAATCAATAGGTAGTTCTAACCTGTAACTCACCTCGTTCAATCTCCTCAGGACTTTAAAAGGCCCCACAAACCGCCGACCCAGCTTCCGGCAGGGCAGGCGGAGGGGCAGGTTTCTGGTTGAGAGCCAGACTCGATCTCCAGGTGCGTACACTGGCCCCTCACTGCGGTGTAGGTCGGCGCTCGTCTTCTGTCGACGTATGGCACGCTGCAGATGGACGTGTGCAGCGTCCCACGTCTCCTCCGAGCGCCGCACCCACTCATCCACAGCGGGGGCCTCGATCTGGCTCTCATGCCATGGTGCCAGAACCGGCTGGTACCCTAATACACACTGAAAAGGGGTTAGTTGGGTGGAGGAGTGGCGGAGAGAGTTCTGTGCCATCTCGGCCCAGGGCACATATCTCGCCCACTCCTCCGGCCGGCCCTGACAATATGACCTCAGAAACCTACCCACATCCTGGTTGACTCGTTCAACCTGCCCATTACTCTCCGGGTGGTAACCCGAGGTAAGGCTCACGAGACCCCCAAACGTTCCATAAATGCTCTCCAGACTCTGGAGGTAAACTGGGGGCCTCGATCGGACACTATATCCTCGGGCACCCCGTAATGCCGGAAGACGTGAGTAAATAGAGCCTCAGCGGTCTGTAGGGCCGTAGGAAGACCCGGCATGGGAAGGAGACGACAGGCCTTCGAGAACCGATCCACAACGACCAGGATGGTGGTATTCCCCTGTGAGGAGGGAAGATCGGTAACAAAATCCACCGAGAGGTGAGACCAGGGTCGTTGTGGAACGGGCAGGGGCTGTAATTTACCCCTGGGCAAGTGTCTGGGCGCCTTACACTGGGCACACACTGAGCAGGAGGAGACATAAACCCTCACATCCCTGGCTAACGTTGGCCACCAGTATTTCGTACTAAGGCAGTGCACCGTCCGGCCAATACCCGGATGTCCAGAGGAGGGGGACGTGTGAGCCCAATAAATCAGCCGATCCCGGACCTCGAGCGGGACGTACACCCGACCCACCGGACACTGTGGAGGACTAGGCTCGGTGCGTAACGCCCGCTCGATCTCCGCATCGACCTCCCACACCACCGGTGCCACCAGACAAGACTCCGGTAGTATGGGAATGGACTCCACGCACCTCTCCTCCGTGTCATACCGACGGGACAGAGCATCTGCCCTCCCGTTCTGGGACCCAGGGATGTAAGTGATCTTGAACACAAACCGGGCGAGAAACATAGTCCATCGAGCCTGGCGAGGATTCAGTCTCCTAGCTGCCCGAATGTACTCCAGGTTACGATGGTCGGTCAGAATTAGGAAAGGGTGCTGAGCCCCCTCAAGCCAATGCCTCCACACCTTTAGGGCCTGTACTACGGCTAACAGCTCCCTGTCCCCTACGTCATAATTCCGCTCCGCCGGACTGAGCTTCTTAGAATAAAAAGCACAGGGGCGGAGCTTAGGTGGTGTACCGGATCGTTGAGAAAGAACTGCCCCGATACCGGCCTCAGACGCGTCCACCTCAACTTGGAAGGGTAAAGTGGGATCCAGGTGCGCCAACACCGGGGCCGAGGTAAACAGGTCCTTCAGTCTCCCAAAGGCCCTGTCCGCCTCAGCTGACCACTGCAAGCGCACCGGACCCCCCTTCAGAAGAGACGTTATGGGAGCTGCCACCTGTCCAAAACCCCGGATAAACCTCCGGTAGTAATTCGCAAAACCCAAGAACCGCTGCACCTCTTTAACCGTAGTTGGGGTTTGCCAATTACGCACGGCGGACACTCGGTCCACCTCCATTCTCACCCCTGACGCAGACAACTGGTAACCCAAAAAGGAAACTGACTCCTGGAAGAACAGACATTTCTCAGCTTTGACATACAGGTCATGCTCCAACAGTCTCCTCAATACCCTGCGCACCAGGGCTACATGCTCGGCCCGAGTAGCACTGTACACAAGAATATCATCTATGTACACCACTACTCCCTGCGCCTGCATGTCCCGGAAAAGTTCGTCTACAAACGATTGGAAGACTGATGGAGCATTCATTAACCCATATGGCATGACGAGATACTCGTAATGGCCGGATGTAGTACTAAATGCTGTCTTCCACTCATCGCCCTCCCTAATGCGCACCAAGTTATATGCGCTCCTGAGATCCAATTTTGTGAAGAACCTTGCCCCGTGTAAGGACTCCGTCATGGTCCCAATCAGAGGAAGTGGATAGCTGTACTTCACCGTCACCTGATTGAGACCGCGGTAATCAATACACGGACGCAAACCTCCATCCTTTTTCTTCACAAAAAAGAAGCTCGAGGACGCGGGAGAAGTGGAGGCCCGTATGTATCCCTGTCTCAGAGACTCGGCAATGTAAGTCTCCATTGCCCTTTTCTCCTCCTGTGACAAAGGATACACATGGCTCCGCGGAAGCGCTGCTCCTGTCTGGAGGTCTATCGCACAATCCCCTTGTCTATGAGGTGGCAACTGTGCCGCTCTGGTCTTACTGAACACGAGCGCCAAATCCTCATACTCAGGAGGAATGTGCAGTGCTGGCATCTGGTTCGGACTCTCCACCGAGGTCGCCCCTACGGAAACACCCAGACATAACCCCTCACACTGAGCAGACCACCCTTTAAGAGCTTTCTCTCGCCACGAAATAGTAGGATCATGGGTCATCAACCAGGGAAGCCCCAGTACCACCGGATACGCAGGAGAGTCGATAAGATAGAGTTGAATCGTCTCCTCATGACCCCCCTGCGTCATCATCCTAAGTGGCGCTGTGACCTCCCCAATCAACCCAGATCCTAACGGACGACTATCTAGGGCATGTACAGGAAAGGGTTTTTCGACTGGAAGGAGGGGAATCCCTAACTTAACACAGAATCTCCGGTCTACAAAATTCCCACCTGCGCCTGAATCGACTAGCGCCTTATGCTGGGACCGAGGTGCAACCTGTGGGAAACAAACAGGTAAGGTAATGTGAACGACAGAAAGCTCTGGGTAAGTAGGGCGCCTACTCACCTGGGTGGACTCCCCACTGTATGACCTGCTCTCTCCCTCACCAGGGGACCCTCCCCAGCACCTAGCCGCGGTGTGCCCTCCGCGCCCACACTTGGTGCAGGAGACTGCCCCCCTCGGGCTCCTACCTCTTCTCCCTCTAGCGCCAGCACCTCCAAGCTCCATCGGACACTGCTCGGAGGCGCTGGAGGGTGGAATGGGGGGCCCCAACCTGGGACGTCCGCGGGTCGCCAGCAGGTTGTCCAGTCGAATGGCCATGTCCACCAGCTGGTCAAATGTTAGTGTAGTGTCCCTGCAGGCTAACTCCCTGCGGACGTCCTCCCGAAGGCTACATCTGAAGTGGTCTATGAGGGCCCTCTCATTCCACCCCGCATCAGCCGCTAGAGTCCGGAACTCCAGCGCAAACGCCTGAGCGCTCCTCATCCCCTGTCGGAGGTGGAATAGACGTTCCCCCGCCGCTCTCCCCTCTGGTGGATGGTCGAAGACCGCACGGAAGCGACGGGAGAACTCCGCATAGGTGACTGTGGCGGCGTCTATTCCCCTCCACTCGGCGTTGGCCCACTCCAACGCCTTGCCGGTGAGACAGGAGATGAGGGCGGAAACGCTCTCGTATCCCGAGGGCGCCGGGTGTATGGTGGCAATGTAGAGCTCCACTTGTAGGAGGAACCCCTGACACCCGGCAGCGGTGCCGTCGTACGCCCTCGGGAGCGAGAGCCGAATCCCAC